TGAAAGATTAAAGAAGAAATTTCTTTCTTATAGATTCTTGAAGAATTATAGAAGAAATTTCTTTCTTACTTTAACAAAAAGAGATTTTTCTTTATTTAGAATATGTAGTTTTAATTCTAAAAAACGATACAGTGAGGGCAAGAAGTCGAAATAGCAAAAATTCTGTTGAGGGAGGAGGCCGTTGAGGGAATAATTTGCATATTCAGAGCCTGAATGTCACTCGGTTCTAAGGATAAAAGCTTGAGATCAAAACTAAGGTAAAACTATTATTTTTGTTAAATTTGGAAAGAATACTTCTAAAATCTTAAAAAATTGTAGGGATTAATCATTCAATGTTTATGTTCAAGGTTATTCATGATGTTTGAATTGATATTATTTCATTATATTATCTAGAAATGTCAGTATATACAATTAAAGGATTAGATAATTTGTTAGAAAGAGTTATAGAAAAAATAAAAATTATTAAATCCCAACTAGAAAATAAAGATAGAGCATCTGAAGAATATAAAAGACTGATGACAGAATATAAACAAAAAATTATAGATTATAATGTTTTATTAAACAAAAGGATGGATTTATTTGTTAAGATTCACATGGAATCGATTTGTTTGTTAGAATTAAGAATATAGAAAATATAAGATACTAATTTCTAAAACTATTCATAAAAGAAGGATGTGCCTTACAATAGAGAAAAATATTTCATTAAGGGTAAAATAGACATCTCCACAAAAAATTTAAAAGGATTTGTCAACTGGTCAATTAGAATAATGCCCCCAATCGACCTGCGTATTTTTGAAGTAAGTTCTGCATCTTGAAATTCACTTTAATTTCTCTTTTAGTATCAACGATCGGAAAACCCTTTTTAGTGATTATTGTAAAGATCTATTCTTTTTGTATGTTTGATCTGGAAAAATGGAAAATTGTAGGTATTTATTTGTTTTTCTATTGTAGGGAGAGAAATTGATGGTTTATAGACGTAGTATCACAGCTCGAGCGAAGCTATTATATGAACAGCGGCAACGAGTTACTCCTTCATTTTCTTATATTCGTCGTGATGACAATGAGCCTACTGTTAGATATCAATAGATTTAATAATTTCTTCTCATTATAATAGCATGAGTTCAACAATAACAATGAAAATCATACCTCCAATAGCTTGTGATTGACTTTCCATGGATTATTTAGGCTGCAAAAGATGGAAGAAAATGTGCTATGGAGAGAACTACTCTCTACCCCTTCAAAACCCTTGTAACCGAGAATCCTCTAGAAGGTCATGAGGAAAGAGAAGGGTGTATGTATATCTATATAGAACTCAATGGGCCAATTCTATATTAAGTTGGATAAGAGTAGGGGGCATCCATATGTGTTAAGAAAAAATGGCCCTTCCCATTATGGGTCCAACAATCAAAATGTACATGCTAGTCCATTAGTAGAAAAACAATCCAACAATCTCCCACTTGGACTTCGTTGCATTTTGTCACTACGTAAACACAAACAAACATCTCGAAACTTAAAGGTCTTGTTCAAAATGTGTCTACAAGTTCAAGCCAGTGAATGGTATACCGACAGGATATACAACACATGACCAATACTTGAAAACACGTAACATAAACCAATGAGATGCAAAAAACAGTATGGAAAATATCAAAAGATAAACAATGTTTCCATAAGAAGCCCTAGAGACAAATCTGAATGTCTATAAAACGATAAGTCATAACCATAATACAGTTGTAGCACATAGCCAAATGACTATACCGACAGGGTATATGACACCAAACATATACTCACAACCGTCAGACTTAGACATATATCAAACACATATTGTCTCTTACAAATAACAGACCTTGTCCATAATGCACATGACTCAGGTATAAGACTAATCAAAATGTCTCAATACATAGATAAGCATTGCTTTGTCCAAAATACGCGTGACTCAGGCA